TGCGGACGTGCTTCTTGAGGTCAAAGTTCCGGCAGAAGCCTTTGCCGCACGTGGGGCAGGTGAAGGGCTTCTTGTCGTTGTGGGTGTGCATGTGGAAGGTCAGGTTGTACACCTGATGGAAGGCCTTGTTGCAGATATTGCACTTGAACTGCTTCTCGCCGCTGTGGGTCAGTTTGTGGTTCTTGTAGTTTCCTGGCGCCCCGACGGAAAAATAGGGCCAATGGGAAGTGCGCGTACGGAGAGAAAAAGAGAGAGAGAGAGAGAGAAATTCAGTGATGCTTATGGGACTCCCTCTCCAGAGGCCCCCAGCCAGATCCTCCCTCCAAACGAGATATATTCCGTTTTTAAAACACCACCACCATACCTTGCTTTAATGATATCGCCGAGCAGCATTCCAAAATCAACTCTATATCAGCAAGAATTCGGATTATCATCATTCCACAATTGCTCTTTTCTTTTTTTTTTCTTTTTTAAACCGGCACGTTGAGATGCTACTGCACTTTTACCCAATTCCATAACCTCACTTATTTGGAAATTAGTTGCTTCCAGCTTAGTTACATTGCCTGAAATGCAGTAGAAAGCGCAACAAGAGTAGGCCCACTGAATCAGTGGGGTTTGGTGAGTCAACTTCTCTAGAAATTCAGCTGATTCAATGAGCCTACTCTAACTGCGAGTTACCAGTGGATTTCAGCAAATGGATTGCTGCCAGCCGACCGCTTAAGAAACTGAAGCTTTACTCTAACTCCCTTGGAAGTCTCTTTCCTCCCGCCCCACCGCGCACCCCTGCTTAAGAAGAGGGTGGTGGTTAAAGGGGAGGGGTTGATGAGACGGCAAACTAGAGACCTCTAACAGGTTTGTCGCGAATGGAATTTTGATCAAGGAATATAAGAAGGATACAGTATCGGAAACCCATCCGCAGCCTGATCCCAGACAATGAATTCAGATTTTGTCGAAGTTTACGTCTTTGAATAATTGTAGGTTATTTAATCCATTTACTTTAATGAAAGAGAACGAGATTAAACCACAGGGTTCATTAACAGCAATTCTATATAAGCCTACTCGAAAATCAGCTCCACTCTATCACCCTGCATTGTGAACCAGTCCAAATATTGCAGCTTGCAGTTTCTAAGGGCAAACAAAATTGTTTATAAAACTGGAGCTGCATTACAGAACTGCTACCGTTCCACAAACACACGCTCAATCCTACACTTGTTTATCAGAAAATAAATTCCACGGAGTCTTATAGGGCTTACTCCCAAGTAAATGAGGATAGGATCTCGGTCTTAGGCTGCCGCGTTAGGCACATTTATTTTGAAAGAAGAGCTGCTAAATCAGCTCGATTTCTGAGAAAGGATCGGTCCCTTAAACCTATTTATTCTTATTTGTTCTTGAAATAACAACTTTAACAATTTTCAGATTTCCTAGCCACCACCACTCTAGGAACGGAAATGACACCTCGAATACTAAAATACGCTGAAAATAATATACATTTTTAGTTACGTTGGAAAAAAAGCAACACGCTCGGTTTATTCTTTTTTAAAAAATCCATGTCATTTTCCTGCCTCCTATTCGTCAGTAGTAAGTTACATTTTTAGAATTCTTTTTAACTCGTGATTTTAGAAATACAGTTCTGCAGATCTTATCTGAAACGTTTTTTTTTTAAAAAAAAACAACTGGAAAAGTACCTTTTTGGTGAAACCCTTTCCCGCAAAATTCGCACACAAAGGGTTTGTAGCCTGCGTGGATCCGTGTGTGTGTGTTTAGAGTGGAACTCCGGTTAAACGCTTTCCCGCACTGGTTGCATTTATGGGGCTTTTCCTGTTTGGGGGACAAGGGGACGGAAAGGAGGAAAATACACAGTTAAATATATATATATATGTATAGATTTCTGATCTTTTCCACGGACAGAAGACAACATCTCCGTTTACATTCAAGGGTTTTCTGTACCCTTTCTATCATCCGCTCCTGCGTCTCCCGCCCACGATTACATATTAGAACAACGGCCATTTAATAGGATTTAAAAGAGTTATCGCCCCTCTTTTATTACTGAAGGACAGCGGGCTTCGTTGCCTTAATGCAAATCAACGAACTAAAAGCAGAAAGGATATCTCTTTGTTGGGTGGGATGGAGGAAGAGATACTAACCAAGCAAGAACTTTTAAAAACTTGAGCCAACCGTTTGTACTGAGAAGTCCAAATGAGTACAAAAGGACTTACTCCTGAGTATGTGCACTTAAGCTAAAAAAAACCTCAAACAAGCTAAAACATTCATGACCGATGGGGGAGGGGTTGGGGGGGTAGCCAAAGCGAAGCGAAGCAAAGCAGCAGGTAGGTCTCCAATAGTGTGATTCAATGCTATACAGTAGATTCCAGGTTGTTTACTCTTAGGTAAATATTTGTAGGATGCAACTTTAAAGACATTTCACAAGTAATTCGCTTAGAATGAGACGAAGGCCATGAAGGAAGCAAAGAAATCAGGACGGAAAGACACGGCTGTGATTTCTAACCCTGCCCCCTTCACGCTTGTTCTCTCTCTCTTACACACACACACAAACACACAGAGAGAGAGAGAGAGATATTCCCAAGAACTGTTTTAGTCTGTAGCCCTTAAACATGCCGGGAGAAAGATCAGAAAAAAAATGTTGAGGGACCTCTCTTGGATAATTCGGTGGATAAAGGAAAGAGGAAACGCAGAGGACCAGTAAAGTTACAAGGCGCCTGGCTTTGAGTGTGGCGGGAACCAGCGGAAACTGAAGGCGAAGCGAGAGAGAGGATGCTCCGCGGCTGGCTGCGCGCCCAGCTGCGGAAAGATACCTGGGTGTGGATGATCTTGTGACGGCAGAGGGTGCTGGCCTGGCGGAAGCCCTTGCCGCAGACCTTGCAGACAAAGGGCCGGGCTCCCGTGTGCACCGGCATGTGGCGCGTTAAGTTGTAGTGTGCGTTGAAGACCTTGAAAGGAGAGAGAGAAAGAGAGAGAGAGAAAGAGAGAGGAGCGGTTAGAAGGGGCCGCTGGCGGCGAGGAAGGCGGCGGCGGCGGCCACAGCAGCCCCGAGAGCAGCGTCCGCTGC